CCTCACACCAGACCACCCGCCCCCACCCACACCCAAACTAAAATTTTATTGCAGATTCGGGGTCCCCTCGCCGAGCACAGCACGACCCCACCCTCAAAAATTGTGACGATATATATATTTCCGGGCTGTTTTTTGGCCCGCCCGGTTTGCCCGGGCGGCGTCCGTACTCAGGGCTAAACGAATTTCCGGGGGAAAAAAAGCGAAAAAAAGAAAGAAAAGAAAAATTTGGTCATATTACGTTTGGGGTGGGTGCAGTGACACAGAACTTATTTTGTAGTTCTCGGCCTGATCTCGCCCAGTAAATCTGAGTTGTTAGCCTTTATTGTCCAGATGAATCTTTGTTTAAAGCCAGGAGTTGTAGGCTTCCGAGCCGATTGGTCTTCTATGGGACGCTGCACCCGGTGTTGTGGGCCATTTTTCTTCGGAGGCATTGTGCGAGGTTTCGTAGGCAGGTGAAAATAGGACTCGAGGGAGGATAATTCATCCCTTGCCAGGAATTGTCCTCTACGGTAAACTGACTGATGCTGCGAGCAGGTCTCTCGGGGTCGAATTGTCAGGACCCCGGGCCTCTGCTTATCTTTGAATAGATTTTGTACTGACGAGCAAAAAAAACAAATGAATTGGCAATTACAGTGAAAAGAAAAAAATAAAAATAAAAACGAAAATGTGGTCTTCTGACGTTTCCCGTGGGTGCACTGACTGTAACAAAAGAATGATTAAAGACGGAATCCGATGGTGGCTAGACAAATATCCCCGGGGAAAAAAAAAACAAAAAAAAAACAGAAAATAAAAAAATTGTTGTCTGACGATCTCATTGCCCACATTGGCCCGGTGCCAAACAATGTGCTCACCCTTTTGCATTGCTGCGGTGAGATTCGTTCGGTTGTAGTGTGTATCCAGACCAGGTGAAAATAGGACTCGAGCTTCATCCCTTGGCAGGAGTTATCCTCTACGGTAAACTGACTGATGCTGCGAACAGGTCCGGGTCAAATTGTCAGGACCCTGGGCCTCTGCTTATCTTTAAATCGATTTTGTATTGGCGAAAAGAAAACAACAAATGAATTGGCAATTACAGTGAAAAAAGTAAAAAATAAAAAGAAAAACGAGAATTTGGTCTTTTGAACTTTGCGGTGGGTGCAGTGACTGTAAGAAAAGAATGATTAAAGACGGAATCCGATGCTGGCTAGGCAAATATCCCCGGGGGAAAAAAAAAAAGAAAAAAAACAGGAAATAAAAAATTTGTCGCCTGACGATCTCATTGCCCACATTGGCCCGGTGCCAAATAATGTGCTCACCCTTTTGCGTTGCTGCGGTGAGATTCGTTCGGTTGTAGTGTATCCAGACCCGATCTTACGGCAGGGGTCGGATCCTCGACGTCTCCATGTACTTCGTGGTTGTCATTGCTGTGTGTCGCTGGAGCTGAGGTGCTGTCCGTGGTCAAAGTCCTCTCCGTGCTCTTTTTTTAATATGCGCCGGTCTGTGCAATCTCTTCTGGCCCAGCGGGAGCTTGCTGCCTTGGGTAAGATGTTCCTTTGTCCCAACCTCTGCCAAATCCCTGTCCATCCTCTCGACTGCAGAAACTAGCCTCAGGATGCACAGAATTACTGCTGTGCTGCAGTTGAAGAAGAACGACATCACCACCTGG